TTCCTGGAACTACCGAGAAAACATCCCTATTTCTTCTAATGAAATCTCTAACCTCTTGCTTTTGATGTACAGACAGAGTCTCAGAAACGTTCACCTCCGGCTCTACTATAGGAGGTTCTGAAGGTTTTAAAGCAACCAGGACCTCCCTGTCCTTCCATGGCTTTAACAGATTTATATGATACAACTGTTCAGGCTTTCTTCTTCCTGGTTGTCTGACTTTATAATTGACATCACTCACTTTTTCTATTATTTCATAGGGTCCATGCCAAGTCGCAAGGAACTTGTTCTCCACAGTAGTGACCAGAACCAAGACCCTGTCTCCAGGTTGGAACACTGACTCTAGCATTACGGTTATAGCTGTTTTTCTGAGCTTGCTGGGCTTCCAGCATGTGTTCCCTGACAATAGGCATGATGGTGGCCATTCTATCCTGCATTTGAGCTATATGCTCAATTACACTCCTGTGAGGAGTAGTCTCCTGTTCCCAGGTCTCCTTAGCGATATCGAATATTCCCCGGGGATGTCTACCATATAACAATTCAAAAGGAGAGAAGCCCGTGGAAGCCTGTGGAACTTCCCGAATGGAAAACAGTAGATATGGCAATAAAAAAAATCCCAATTTCTTCCATCTGCATCAATTACCTTACGTAGCATACTCTTAAGGGTTTTGTTGAACCTCTCTACTAAACCATCAGTCTGTGGGTGATATACTGAGGTCTTAAGATGTTTAACCCGCAAGAACCTGCACAACTCTTTTGTGACTCTGGACATGAACGGGGTCCTCTGGTCTGTCAGGATTTCTTTAGGGATACCCACCCTACTGATCATCAACATAAGTTCCTTAGCTATTAACTTTGCAGAGGTATTACGCAAGGGAATGGCCTCAGGGTAGCGAGTTGCATAGTCCAAGATGACTAATATATATTGGTGTCCCCTAGCAGACTTTACCAGTGGCCCCACTAAGTCCATAGCGATCCTTTCAAAAGGCACATCAATTATGGTTAAGGGTACAAGTGGACTACGAAAAGTCTTGAAAGGAGCCCTGTACTGGCACTCAGGACATGAGGAGCAATAGTTTGTAATAGCAGCAAACACTCCAGGCCAGTAAAACCTTCTAAGGACTCTCTCTCTCTAGTTTTTTTGACTCCCAAGTGTCCCCCTAATATGTGGCTGTGAGCCAACTTTAGCACTATATTTTGGTAAGTTTGAGGAACCAACAGCTGCTTAATGATGTCTGAATCCTTTTTTTCTACACGGTAAATTAGATCATTTTGTACTTCAAAATAGGGGAACGGCAGTGCTTCTCCTGGCTGATTAGCAACCCCGTTTACAACTTTAATATTTCTAGCTGTCACTAAAGTGGGATATTCCCACTGAGCACTTTTAAAATTACCTGGACTAATTCCAATATCAATTAAGTCCTTATCCTTGTCTGCAGTATTAGTAGGCTCCTCACTAGCTGGGTTATCTCCTATTAATACTGGTTTAGGACAGTATTTTTTCCTTTTTCTTATTTTCCCGTCACAGTGGTCAAAACCCAAGTCAATATCGGAAAAAGGGAACACATTATCTACTAATTTCTGATAAATTTTGGTCTCTTTTGTACAGCTGCCCATAATTCTAGAAAATTAGGAAAGTCTCACCGATCACTACCTCATTGGCTAATCTAGGTATTACACCCACTTGGTACTTTAAATCCCCATACTGGGTTCCAATATTTACTTCTGCAGTGGGGTATTCCTTTTTATCACCATGAACACAGATAATACCTATTTTCTGTACATGATCAGGTTTTACGCAAGGTATTATAGACTCTGCTACCAACGTAACCATACTACCGGAATCAAGTAATGCTTTAGACATTTTTCAATTTACAGTTACACAGCATTTATGAGGGTTATTATCATCGTCATTGTTAACAGTACCATAACAGTTGAGTAAAAATGAACGTGCTCCCTCATCTTTGCCCATATTGCATTCCATAGGTTCATCCCTCAATGGACAGTCTTTGGCCATATGACCATCCTCTTTGCACTTGAAACATTTGACAGTAAAATCTGACCACCAATTAGTTCCTCTCCCAGGCCTATTGGACCTGGATGCCCCCCTGGTGTTTTGTGTATAGAGCTACAGCTCTTCAGTTCCCCTTAAACAGTCTTACCAGGTCTTGCAGAATCTTGGGGCTTAGGATTGCGGGGGTTTTCCTGTGAAGTAGGACATAGCAGTTCTCCTGCAGCCACATTTCTTTCCACCAAGGCAATCAGTTGGTCAGCTGTATAGGGGTCACTTTGGCTGACCCAGCAACTCAGGGCAGCTGGTAAACCACGCAAAAAATGGTCCATTACTAAGGTTTCCACAATGTGGCAAGCTGAATGGATTTCAGGTTGTAGCCATTTCTATGCAAGGTGTATGAGGTCAAACATTTGGGAACGCACAGCTTTGTCTGAAGAATACGACCATGAGTGGAACCTTTGGGCACGTACTGCAGAGGTTACACCCAGTCGTGCCAAGATTTCAGCTTTCAATTTGCTGTAGTTGCTTGCATCGGCTGGTTCTAGGTCATAATATGCCTTCTGCGGCTCTCCACTTCGGAATGGTGCCAGTATGCTTGCCCACTCACCAGCCGGCCATCCCTCCCTCTCAGCAGTGCATTCAAATGCCAGAAGGTATCATCTGATGCAGTCATTTTCTGAAGGTAGTGGCTCGCCCGAATCACCTTTGGTCCCTGGTATCTTCCATCAGGGTCTCCATTCAGTTTTTCAGAGATAGCTTGGATTTCCTGTTATAGTCCCTGGGTGACTTTTCTGCTCCTCACGGACTACTTTAAACATCTCTGCTTGTGTCACAGCAATCTGTTTCACCAAGGACTCAGTGCACTCCATCTGTGTTTTGGCCAGGACATTAGCACACTCTGCCTGGGCCAGCACCAGTTGCTGCAGGGCTGCACTGTTTTCTGCAGCTCTCCTGTTAGCCTCCTGCTGCACAGAGGTGGATTGGATCAGAGCCTTGATGACATCCTCCATGTTGAGCTTTAAATGACTTCTACTCTCAGGCTTA